TTTAATTTAAATGGAGTTACACAGAATGTACTTTTTGTCTGGAGGCTCAACTTTCACTCAGTATAAATCTTCTGACATTCATCCATGTTGGTGCATATATAAATACTTCATTTCTTTTATGGACTAGTATTCTAGCGTATAGATATACCACAGTTTGCTTATCCCGTCACCAGTTGACGGACACTGAGTTGCTTCTAGACTTTGGATATTACAAATAAAAGTTCCTACAAGCATTTGTGTGTTTATATGTACATATACTTTCATTTCTCTTGCGGGGGGACAACTAGGTCATATGGTGGGTTATATATAACTTTGTAAGAAACTGGAAAACTATTTTTCAAAGTAGTTGTACCATTTTGCATTCTCACCAGTGTATGACAGTTCTAGCAGCTTGTGCAAATATCTTGTATGGTCATACTTTTTAAAGTTGGACACCTGAATAGTTGTTGCATGTTGTATGGGCTGAAGTTTTGCTTTTTTGGATATGGATATTCAATTGCTATAGCATAATTTGTTAAAAAGACTATTATTTACAGAATCGCTACTGAAATTTTGTTAAAGAATTAACAGTTGGTCTATTTCTGTACTATCTCCTCTGTTCCATGGATCTATTTGCCTACCTTTAGGGCACTGCCACACTGTATTGACTACTGTAGCTTTATAAGTCCTGACGCCATGTAGTGTAGGTCCTCTGATTTTTTTTTTCAAAGTTGGTTTGACTATTTTAGTCCAGTGTTTTTCCATATTAATTTTAGAATATGCTTGTTGACTTCTAGAAAATGAACAAACAAAAAACCTGTTGGAATTTTAAATTATGTTGAATCCAAAGACCAATTTGAGACCTGACATCTTCACAATAGAGTTAAAATCCATGCACATGCCCTCTCTCTCCATTTACTTAGTTCTTTAATTATTCTCAACAATGTTTTATAGTGTTCAGTATACAGGTTTTGTATATCTTTTATTAGATTTATCCCAAAGTATGTTATATCTTTTCATAGTAATGGAAATAGTAATTTTAAATTTCAATTTCTGCATGTTTGCTGCTACTATATAGAAATACAACTGGTTTTTGTGTGTTTATCTTGTATCCCACAACTTTGCTAAACTCATTTTTATTTGTAATTGCTCTTTGTAGATTTCAAAGGATTTTTCTACAAAGATGATCATGGTGTTTAGTAACAGAGACAGTTTTTCTTCTTCCTTTCTAATCTCGATGATTTTCATACCTTATTAGCACTGACTAGAACCTCCAGTACAATGCTGAATAAAAGTGGAAAGAGTAGACATCCTTGTCCTGTTCCTGATCTTGGGAAAGCTTCCAACCTTTGGTATGTTGTTTCATTTACATCCTTGCTTTGTCCCTGATCTGAGAGGAAAGTATTCAGTTTTTAATCATTAAGTATGATATTAGCTGTACACTTTTTGTGGATGTCCTATATTGGGTTGAAGAAGTTCCATTCTATTAGTACTCTGAGGGCTTTTTATCAGGAATGGATGTTGGATTCTGACACAGGTTTTTTTCTGTGTCTATTAAGATGGTGATGTTTTTTATTTTTACAAAGGTGAATTATATTGATTGGTAAACCAACCCCAGAGTCCTGGTCATGATGAATTATCCTATTACTGGATTGAATTTGCTAAAATCACGGGGGGAAAATGTCAAAATCCAACATCCATTCCAGAAAAAAAGCCCTCAGATTACTAAGAATAGAAGGGAATTTCTTTAACCCAATACAAGGCACTGTATGCATATTAGGATAATATTGTTAGGAGGGACAAAAGGAGCCTCACTCTAGACTAATTTTGCCCCAATGGTGTTTTAAGTACTCTGAAGCTCATGAATTATGAGGTTCTCTACTCTAGCTAGTAGAGTAAGAATGGTTACAGGTTCTCTGTGCACTCTGAAGATTATTTGCTAGTATCTTCTCAGGTGGTTCTTTTCCTAGTCTTCATTAGTTTCCTCACAGCTGAAAGACTTGGGTGGGACTCTGCAAATCTCCTGTGTTCTCTCTCTATGCAGCTCTTTCCTTTTGGGTGCTATGAATTGCAAACTCCAGCCGGCTAGCTGTTAGATTTCCTGAACTTCCAGCTCCATCTTTTCAATTCAAAGAGACTGCCAAGCTCTACGTGGGTTCTCCTCTGTGCAATGGCCTAGAAATTCTCTTCAAGTGGTAAGTTGGGTTAATCATAGGGCTCATCCCATTTATTTCTTGTCTCACAAGGATCACTGTGCTTCATTATCTGTGAAGAGATAGCCTTGGTGGACAAGTTCTTCTTTTTTAAAATATACTTTCTGAGGTTATCAGAAAAGCTTTAAAACATCATTAGTAGTACACATGAAAAGGAAAGTGGCACTAGGTAGAAAATAAGAGTCAAGTGTGTTTGGTTTTAGCTAAGTGCTGACATATTGAGAATTTATATTAAGCACAGTAGATTTGTTTTTTTCTTTTTTTTTGTTTTTTTCTTTTGAGGGAGAAAGAGGGGGAGAAGGACAAAGCAATCCTGTATATATTCCCTGAGAAATATATATCACACTTCATTGCAATTTAGAAGTGAAATGTCCCTTGTTTCCCTAGAGAACTGAAGATAGTTTATTATTACTTGAGTATTCAAGGAGAACAATGAAATATGAGATTAAAGAGATAAAGCTCATAATAACATATTTGCTTTTTTATAATCAAATATGGTATCATTTTTATTTATCCTCATTAAATTTCATCACTTAACTGGTATATCCAAACTATTAAAATTGTTTAAAGTCTCATTTTGACATTCAATTTAGTTGGTATCTATTAACGTGTTGCATTATTTACATTCTGTGCGTTCGCCTTATCTACAAATACAGCTTTATCTGAATCACTGATAGTTTACTTGAGCAAACACTGAAGCATATCACTAGAAATCTATTAATTTATCGGAGGACTTTTTGAGACTGGTTCAGTAAACTATCAAATATATCTAATTGCCCTGTATCCAATATTTATTATTCTATAATCCATATTATGACAAACCATCTCAAATATATTATACATCTACTGTTTATTGGTCTGCCATAATAGGTACTACGTATCTGTTGAATTCATATGAATAGCAATCATACAAAAAAAGTAAAAAGTTATCCTGACATGACTTGTAACAACCATGTAGTAGGTTGTAATTTTACTACTTCCTCTTCTAGGTAGGGAAAAATAATTTCTTTAATAATCTACACAGTACTAAGTTCTAGTCAAACTTTACCAATTTGTAGAATCAATCAATTTTTAAAATTGCGGTAAAATATACATAAAGTAAAATTTTACCACTTTAACAATTTTAAGTGTTAAATTCACTGACATTAAATATATTCACAATGTTGTGCAATCATCACCACTATCCATTTCCAGAACTTTTTTTCATCCCAAATAGAAGCTTTGTACTCATTAAATAACTCCCAACTCCCCTTTTCCCCCAGTGCCTAGTAACCACTATTCTGCTGTCCTTCTTTATGAGTTTTTCTATTCCAGATACTTCATTTCAGAGGAATCCTTACAGGAAAACCCAATAGGTGTCTGCTTGTATCTGCCTTATTTCACTTAACATAATGTTTTCAAGATTCATTCATATTGTACCATGTATCAGAATTCATTCCTTTTAAAGGCTGAATAATATTCCATTGTATGTATATACCAGATTTATTTATCTATTCATCTGTTGAAGAACATTTGGTTTGTTTCCAACTTGTGGCTATTGTGAATAATGCTGCTAAACATTGGTGTAAAAGCATTTGAATCCCTGCTTTGAAGGTTTTTTGGTTATACCTAGAAGTGGGATTGCTGGATCATATGGTAATAATTCTCTTTTTAACTTTATGAACAACCACCAAATTGTTTTCCACAGCAGCTGCACCATTTTACATTCCCAGCAGCTATGCACAAGAGTTCCCATTTCTCCACATCCTTGCCAGTACTTGTTATTTATCATTTTTTAATTTTGAAAACAGCCATCCTACTGGGTGTCAAGTAATATCTTACTTTGGTTTCATAAGCATTTCTCTAATGATTACTGATGGTGAGCATCTTTTCACATGCTTATTGGCCCTTTGTATTGATATATCTTCTTTGAAGAAATATTTATTTAAGTCCTTTGACCATTTTTAGATTAGGTTGTTTTCTTCTTGTTGAGATGTATTTGAGTTGTTAAGATATATATTCTGGATACTAATCCCTGAACCGATACATTATTTGCAAATATTTTCTACCATCCATGGGTTGTCTTTTCACTTTCCTGATAGTGTCCTTTGATGCACAAAAGTTTTTAATTTTGATGAAGTCCAATTACTTTTTCTGTTGACTGTACTTTTGGAGTTTTTTTAAACAATGAAGACCATTTTGATATCATCAGCATTTTCTGCAAACCTAATTATTCTTGGGCCTCTATTCTTTTCTATTCTTCAATGTCTCTGCCAAACTTTTAGCATTGTTCCCTGGTTCTATAAATGCTTTCCATCTTTTTTACATATGTTTTACAAATGTGAGCTCTTATTAAAGAGTTTTCTGTGTGCTCTCCAATGCTTTATATTTTTGTTAAGGCTCCTCCTCATTTTCTTTTTAATTAAGGTCATTTAAGGTTGATGTTAAGGGTTAAGGATGAGGGCAAGGGTTGACTGATAAATGTGATGAAAATATTTTTTATCTTGCTTGTGGTCACAGTCACAAGACAGGTATGCATTTGCAAAAGCTCACAGAAATGTATAAGAAGAGTGAATTTTACTACATGTAAATATATGTAGTAAATAAACCTGAATAACCTAATCCTTTAAAAGACTAATTTTTTACTGTGTAAGAAATTAGTATATTCTGAAGGAAATACTAAAAATACTGAGTTAGAGTTGTCCAAACTGAGGCAGTTTTACTTAATTCTCAAGTACAGTTTTTATTTATATATTTCTAAACATATACACAACCTATACACAAAAAGAAACCAAAACAACCAGGTACTTTAAAAAAAAAATTACTCACCGTCTCATTTCCAAAGAGTATGTCAACATAAGGCATAACTTTCATCAATGATTCCTTGTAGAACTGACTAATAAATGGTGCTGACAGATTCAAAGTGAAAATTCTGTTGTTTTCAGAAGCATGGTGAGCCACTTTTAAAACTGACTCTGGGGAAACTGTGAGAAAAAAACCCTGGATAAAGAAAAAAAGGAAGGGAAATTAGAAATGCTATCTCCACAGAGTCACTCTCAGTGAGAATAAAAGAAACCTATACAAAATACAAAAGCCTATATAATGTAAACATTAAAAATACAATTATAAAATGCAAAGCAGAAAAAAGAATTTGATTAGGAGAAAAGTTTATCACATGAGTACTATATGCTTGATATATGCCATTACATTAGAGAATAAGACATTATTTATTCCATATTAGATGTGTATATTCAATACTGAAAGAATTCTAGGAATCTACATAAGAAAAAATATTTGAAAGGTCTCATTCAGGACAATAATTACTTTTAAATCAGAGAAATAGTAATGAAGGCAGATTAGATCCTTACAGCTTCTTACAAACAGTTTGGATTCTTATTGTCAGGAAAGCTATATTTAAAAATACTATTTATCTGTATCTTAAACATTAGTAAGTCTTTTAAAATATATATTTACTCTTTCTAGATGCAAGAAAGTATAAGCAAAGACATGCATGCTTATATAGAAATCTGGTTTGGATGATGCGCAAGGAAATGAAGGAGTACACAAAGGGCAAAAGAAGATAAAAGTCTGAAAGCCCAGCTGAGTTAAGAACACGAAGGGCCTTGAGTGGCAGTTCAGGAGTCTATTAGGTGGAGTGGGGATGAATGAAGGGTAATGAAGTTTTCCTTGAAAGAAAGGAATAACAAGCTTAATAGGAGAATTCAAGGGAAGGTTACTCTGGACAGCAACAGTCAATAAAAGCCTGCTTTCGGCCTTGTAAAAGGAAATCATACTGGGAGTATTACATACTGGACTTAGCAATTGTTTAAGATGTGGGAGACAAAGAAAAAAGAGTTAAAAGATTACTAAGATTTTGAATCTGGCTCTACTATTAATAGAAATAGAAAAATCCAGGAATTCCCTGGTGGTCCAGTGGTTAGGACTCTGCGCTTCCAATGCAGGGGGCACAGGTTTGATCCCTGGTCGGGGAACTAAGATGCCACATGCTGCGTGGCATGGCCAAAAAACAAAAAAACAAAGGGAAAAAAATAGAAAAATACAGAACAAGACCTGGCTTAGACGTCAAAGAGAGTGTTGAGTTGTGGTCATACTACATTTGAGGTGTTAAGGGACTTCCAAATATATCAGAAAGCTGGACTCAGGAGAAAGACCATGGAAGAAGGTGATGGTAAAAGAGGAGTTGTAATTACCAAGAAAGAAAAGGTAGAAAAAGAAGAGAGCAAAGGACAGAATAGAGGAGAACCAAAATCAGGGGACAGAGGAAAGGAAAAAAGTAGAGTACAAGAGGAAGGCACACAAGAAGAACAGAAGCCATGACAGAGAAACCCAACAAGGGAAACTTTAAGAAGATACTTAAAAGCACCGAAGCTATCAATGGGTAGAGAGGAAAGGACTGAGCCAAAATCACAGGATTTGATGGTTAGGAGAAAGTACTTAAGGTATGAAGGTAAAAACAGATAGTTGTTTAAAAAAAGAATGGTGAGACAGTAAGGGTAAAGATAAATTATTTGGGGAGTTTTATCTGTGAATAATAATAGAATCATCTAAAATTCACTGAGCAATTCTTACAATCCAGGCACTATACTAAAAGCTCTATGTATATCAACTTAGTTATCATTTTTTCCTTACATAAACCTATGAGGTGGATACCGTTATTATTCTCTTTTTATGAATAAAGAAGGCAAGATAGGAAAGTTAAGAAAGGTTTCCCAGATCCTACAGCTTATGTGTGATGGAGTTTGAATTCAAGTGACTCCAGAGATAATTACCCTAGTTTTAGTAGATAACAGAGAAGAAAAGAGCAAAAAGATAATTTTAGTGGCAGAAGGGGAGTAGGAGAGTTGTTTTTAAGAACAGGGAAAGTTTAAGCACTTCTGCTCTTCAATGAAGGATCTACTGGAGAAACAGAAGAATGAAGAAGCAAGAGAGGGAGGATAATTAGAGCAAGGAACCAGAGGAAGTAGGGAAACGGGGAGGAGAAGAGCTACCTTATGTTAGAAATAACCATCAAAGTGTAAAGGAAACTTCTTTTAAAAGTTACAAAAGAGCTATTGAAATATTCACTTATAACTGAGGGACTAACCACTTCTATCTTGCAAACTAAAAGAGTTTAAAGAGAAACAGGATTATTTTTCTATTATTTTCAAACTTCAAAATGAATATTAAAAGAACACTAAAAAATTAATTTTCTGGCAGGAGTCATGTGTACTGGGATCCACCTTTGAAGGGTTTCTTGCGCTTACAAATTCTGAAATATTAAGAGAATTTTATACTATAATTGTCTCTTACTAAAGTACTGCTAATGAAATTCTAATAAAAACGTTTTCCTATCACAGTAACATAAAATTTTCTCATCATTTAAAAATTCTAAACCATTAATTCTTTACCAATATTCAACTGTTCTAAAAGGAAACAAGTCTTAGTCTTAGGTAACATCATTTAATGTTTTCATCTTACTTTTTAAACCAAATACCATGTCACTTGCAAACTATGAGCATCCAAGCTGCTTTGCTATTTATGTCACTTGGAGAATTAAAATGAACAGTTTCTATAGCATCTTGTCTCCATAGTAATATGTATGTACTTGCCTTTTAGTCTTTCATTTGATGAGGAGAGTTTAAAGCTCCCCCCTCCCCCTGTTTCTCCCCAAACTGTTTCAGCATGAAATAAAAACCTCCCAGAGCTAGCATTCTGCCAGCTGTGGATTAACCACAGCCAGCCATAGAATGGTTTACATAAATAGTAACCTGGTCAAATAATTAGGCTTCTCACCAACTTCAGACTGAAAATTTGATCTGTGCTAAAATACATCTGATTGTAATTTAAGGTACAGAACAGTATGCCCCAGAGTCTAAATCTGGCCTCATTCCAAATGTGTATGTTGTATGTGTGTTTTACTTTAAAATGCAACACAAGAGAATTGTGATGTGGACAGTAGAACTTCCATTTTCTTAATTTTACAAAGAATACACAAAAAACCATCAGCTTTTAACTGAGGCAAATTCACAATTTAAATTAATTCCATTTTTGAATGGTTTCTTGTTTTTCTTTAAGTAAATATTTAGTATTTAAACAATTTCGGATTTGTGCTCTCTTAGAGTGCACAGACTTAAAATCAATGCCAACCATAATTTTTCTTTCTAGATTTATATCCTTTGCTAGGCCACATGTTACAGACCATCGTATCACCAAAACAACACTGTTATAAAAAAATTTTTTTTCAAGTAACAGGTTTGTAATAAAAACAGGCCAATAATTTACAGAGCTGTAGTTTAGAAAAATACTCTATATAATCAACAAAAATCTTGTAATTTACAAAATAGGGATTTCAGTAGATACAAGAGTTAGCGCTGCTACTCTTTGGCCCTAGGACCAACAAAAAGCAAAGTAGATTCTAACACTTAGAGATTGGATAATATTGATCAGAATTGAGGGTGAAGTGAGACAATTTTATCCATTAAAATGGAAACTGAAACAGAAAAAAAAAGGCAGGAGTAGGAGGAAAGGGGAAAGACCAAGACAGAGCCAAAGAACCATTTTTATCAGAGCCAGACTTAAAGCTTGGAAATCTCAAGTATGTAGATTTCTCATTCAGCCACGCTGAGGATTTCTCAGGGTAGTTTAAACATGGGGGAATGTAAGTAATTGAAATATTTAAAATACTAAAAGAAAAGACAAGAAACTGTTCATTTCAAATCACATCAAAAACAAAATACCAAAAAACCAAAAAACAAAATACCCAGGAATAAACTTAACCAAGGAGGTAAAAGACCTACACTCTGAAAACTATAAAACACTGATGAAGGAAACTGAAGACAATACAAAAAAAACGGAAAGATAGTCTGTGCTCATGGATTAGAATAATTAAAATCATCAAAATGTCCATACTACCCAAAGCAATCTACAGATTCATTGCAATCTCTGTCAAACAACCCAAGGCATTTTCCACAGAACTAGAACAAATAATCCTAAAATTTATATGGAACTACAAAAGACCCCAAAGTGCCAAAGCAATCTTGAGAAAGAACAGAGCAGGAGGAATCATGAGCCCTGTCTTCAGACTATACTACAAAGCTACAGTCATCAAAACAGTATGGTACCGGCACAGAAACAGACACATAGATCAATGGAACAGAATAGAGGGCCCGGAAAGAAACCCATGCACTTATGGTTAATTAACCTATGACAAAGGAGGCAAGAATATACAGTGGAGAAAAGACAGTCTCTTCAATGAATGGTGCTGGGAAAACTGGACAGCTACATGTAAAAGAATGAAATTAGAACATACTCTAACACTGTATACAAAAATAAACTCAAAATAGATTAACCTAAATGTAAGACTGCATACCAAAAAACTACTAGAAAAAAACAAAGGCAGAATACTCTTTGACATAAATCACTGCAATATTTTTTGGATTTGTCTCCTAAAGCAAAGGAAATGAAAGCAGAAGTAAACAAATGGGAACTAACTAAACTTAAAATCTTTAATACAGCAAAGGAAACCACTGACAAAACGGAAAGACAACCTACTGAATGGAAAGTTTGCAAATGATATTACTGATAAGGCGTTAATATCCAAAATGTTATATAAAGACCTCATACAGCTCAATATCAAAAAAATAAGCAATCTGACTTAAAAAATGGGCAGAAGATGTGAATAGACATTTTTCTAAAGGAGATATGCAGATCTACAGGCACATGAAAAGATGCTCAATACTGCAAATTATTAGAGAAGTGCAAATCAAAACTACAATGAGATATCACCTCACATCTGTCAATATAGCTATCATCAAAAAGTCTACAAAGAACAAATATTGGCAATGATGTGGAGGGAAGGAAGACTTGTATACTGTTGGTGGGAATGTAAATTAGTACAGCCACTATGGAAAACAGTATAGAGGTTTCTCAAAAAACTAAAAATACAATTACCATATGATCCTGCAATTCCAGAGCTGGATATATATCTGAAGAAAACAAAA